GATCAGATAGGGAACTTTGATCAGACTCTCCAGTTTCTTCCAGCGGTATGAATCTGTTTTGAAGAAACTGCTGCATTTCTCTGGCTGTTATCAGSTGTTTTGATTACAGCCTGTTGCTTTCTTCTCCTTGCTGGAGGAGAAAAAACATTTCTCTGTAATTCTGGCCATTCAATGTCATCTAAGAGCTGAATCCTTCCTGAGAGACTTTTTGGTCTGGCACAAAGAGAGTTCCATACAGTTTTACACTCAGAAGCAGCTTCCATCTCCTCTCCATGTTGATCTCTCCTTTCAGCCTTCTCACCCATTTGAACGCATGTAGAGTCCTCCAAAGCATTCATCTCTTCCAGACGATGAACCTTGAGCTCCAACACTGTCACCTTTTGGAGAACTTGGCAGAAATCCTCTTTGGAAAAGTAAGGCGGCATCATGAAGCTTTTCTGTACTCACTCTCAGYAGATGATGTTTCAAAAATCTTCTCAGGTTCTTCAAMAGYCAAAAATAAAAATTCAATAATCTTTGCTTATTCAAGATCATCCAGCACAATTGTCACCAGCGTATCTCTGTTGTTAAAACAATTTACCATAAAAAGGTTCTTTTCATCCAGCTGGAGWCACGGTCCTGAGCAGTCCTGCTCTCACTCATATCAGTCCACCTGCAATGTGGCCTTGGTCCGTCGATCTCCTGGTGGTCTCTGCGACAACGCCAACTGTTATGGCAATATTTATTTAACAAAGACAGAAATACGTGGTCCAAGAATGAAGGTACTCCGTGAAATGATCAGCTGAGTTTTATTGCAACAACAGGAAACACAGAGAACAACATGCCCTGTCTCTGTGCCTCTACCTCTCTCTGTCACTGTCTCTCTACACTACTCGCTGTGTCTCGAGAGGCCTCATATACAGTATATCTTAACAAACACCATTATGTCATTTTAGCAAGATTTGATACAAGGTCAACGGAAAACACAAAGATAAACACAAGTGACATCTAAGAATGACTGTTGTTAGMAAATCTTGTTGTGACTTTAATCATTCTATCTGCWGATGAACAGCATATCATGAAAACCTAGGTCATTAAAGGATGTCATGAATAACTTGCTTAAACATAAAAGTATTAGTTCCATTACAAACTGTCCAAATGTATACTGCTTACAAGGCTGAGTTCACCTGTCACTACTCAGACTGAAGAAGTCTCTTGGTCTTGGAGGTGACTAAATGTTTTTTTCAAAAAGAAAAACCTGTCTAGAAGACCTACTCAACCTTTTTTTTTTTAGATTTTTCTACATCTACGTGGATTGTTGCATTTCATGCCATTCATTCCTATATTAAAATGAAATGAAAATAATTTAAATGTTTCCATGTATATAATCAGCAGTCTCTGTTCTGAAATAACTGCAGTAATTATCTTGTGGCCAAGTCTTATTTATCTGGAGGCTATGACATGATTTATTTTACTCAAGGTCACTGGATGGGCTCCGTATAAAAACGCTGGGAGCTTGGTGGTCAAAGTAAAAAATGTTTATTTAACGTGGTGGAAGCTAAGACATTTAAAAAGGGGACAAGGACAAAACGAGACTGGCCTGGAAACTTTGGAAAGCACAATGAACCAAATGTGGAGTGAAGACAGGACACAAAATATAAAGGTAAGTAAATGAGAATAATTGAGAACACCAGGGAAGGAACATGAGGATCAGGTGTGCTTGGGAGGAGCTGGGGAGGAACACAGAGAATGGGACACTAAAAACAAAGCACTGACAGGACAAAAGACAGAATAAACTAACCAAATAAAAAAAAAAACCCAGATCCTCACAAAAATGGCTGATAAAATTTAGCTTATTGGCTAGGTCATAACAGGTGTTAGCCAACAACAACATTCAGCTGAGGCAAAGCTATGTAGCTAAAGCTAACAGTTACGGTACATCTGCTAGCCACAAGTAATATAATGTGATAAAAGTGTAGAAAATGTTTGTTATGCTATAAGGTATTTCTATTTGCCAATTAGCAATTTAGATAGAATGTAGCCCAAGTGGTAGCCAACAAAAATGACAGAAGAGCTATATATTTAAAGTAAGTTACATCTGTCATAGTAATATAGTGTACAAATTGTTTAATCTAAAATTAACTATTAAAATTTTTTATTAACTTKGCTAATTTATGTTTGCTTTAGTAACCGATGCACTTTAATATACTAAAAGTACAGCTAAAATTGTTTAAAATACTTCTCAAAAGACTGGATGCCTTGTATTTATTTATTGTTAAATGTAAAAGATGAGGTTGATTTGTAATCTGCSATAATACTGGAATATTTGACACAAATTAATGAATTACTTGTACAAGCTTAGGAATTTTCRCACTCAGTTACTGTTGTGTCTGTGATTACTTTAAGATAACCTAACAGGAAACACTGAGGGTTGGGGAAACATGGTTGCTTTTGTATTCCGTGTTAAAAAAAGAAATCAAGCACCCGCACTGTCATCACACCTCCCCTTTCCCAGTCCACCAATGGGGATTGCCCGTTTTACAAATTATTACCACCGCTGCAGCACTATATTATCCAGGACCGGTGGTAGGCGGTACTGCAAAAAAGCTGGAAAAAATGTGGAGTGAAACCAGTCTCCTCCAAGGCTGGCAGAGGAGGCAGCCTTTGTGATGCTGATGCTGATGCTGATGCTGCGGTAAACCCCGGGGCACTGAAGAGCCAACAAGCGGCGGGAAGCAAGCAGACGGAGACCGCCAAAACACCTGCTGATGGGGAAACCGCTGACCGACAGAGAGGAAGACAGAAAGAGAGAGAGCAGGAGCTGAAGAAGAAGAGGAGGAGGAGAGAGCCTCGACAAGCACGAAGGAGAGCAGTACAGTCCAGTTTGAACAACGCAGACGGAGACCCCATCATCCAGACGCTGTTTAGTGGGAGAACAAAAACCCAGTGATGGAGTTGCATTCAGGTAGCTTCTTTTTTCTCTTTCATCACAAGAATAAGATTCAGTTTCATGTCTTGGATGGAGAAAATGCAAAAAGGTGAAGGTGGAGGAGAGGAGAGAAGAGGGGTGGGGAAGGAGGGGGTAGCCCATTTAAATTCAGATGCCCTGGATTCAGTAGACGCCTCGCATAATAAATAAACTAGATCTTTGTTTATTTGCTGTTTTGATGAGGAATTGTAACATTTAGATGTGCATTTTATAATATTCCATTATTGTTGTAGAACGCAGCTTCACTGATCACAGGCTCATCCCACCGCTTGATTTAGTGTCGGTATGCAGTGAACCGAAGAGTTTGACGCTCATAAAACCGCAGCTCATCTCTAAAGAGGCAGTAACTCCTCGTGGCTTTTGTTTMGTCTCTGTCTCTCTCTCTCTCTCTCTCTCTCTCTYTTTTTGAGTATGTGTGTGTATTTCTCTCAGCTTTCAGAGACAAAATAAGCAGAAGCTGGGTCACAGCTCGGCTCGTCCTGTCGCTCCTGCTCCTGTTCGGATGCCAAAACAGGTAAATAAAAAGCTCAAGCATGCAGGGGGGAAAAAAACAACCATTTGCACCTTTGCAAACTCAACTCTGAGTTTCATGTACCTTCCCAGTGACAGATCACATATTCGAGATTCCCTCTTCTGCACTGAAGCTTAAGCTTCTTTCTTCAAAATAAAAACGTAAAAAGCTGCCTGCAAATGACTGAATCTGTACCTTTGTAAGCCTTGTGGGTATTAGCCCATATCTCACATTCTGGCTCATCTTTGAGACAATGCCTCACTTCTCGCTGTAGAAGGAGAGCTCATTTGTTTGTATTTGGATCACACATCCAAGCCTAATTATCTCCACTGGTACGCRTAAGCAGCACTTATGTTTAATAATTAATCACAACAAGACCGTCCTTGATGCGGCTAGCTAATTAATCACAATAACCACGTCTCAAAGTTGGACTAACGCTTGGATGATCTCTCCTTTCTTGTTTCCTTCTTCTTTCCCTCCTTTCCTAGTCTTGGCCAGACTTCGTCAGAAGCTCAGAAGGAGACTAGCGGCAACGACAACAGCACGGTCTTCACCAGGATCCTGGATGGACTCTTGGATGGCTATGACAACAGGCTCAGACCAGGGCTTGGAGGTTTGCTCAGGGGATATAAGGGGTAGCATTCCTCCTCAAGGTTGTAGTTCACAGGGCTTCCACTGTTGGCGAAAAGCAGCAAAAATCATTTGTGAGGGAGAACTGTTCGCAAAGGTTCTTAGTTGGCTTGTTTTTGCATTGGTGGAGTGACAGTATTTACCATCTCAAACCTTTCTCAGTTTAGTTTCCATAATTCTAGACTTTCGAAACACTTTGTTTAGTGTGACTCCAATGGCAAATTATTGTATTTTCTGACAGTTTCATGTCCAAGAGATACAGTTAATTTTGCAAACTTTAACTGAAAAAAAAAAAACAGTGGTGTTTTGTAGGTGTGTCTCAATACCAGTTTTTCACAAATCGAGTACAAGTACTTCAGTTTGGGTACTCGCCGATACAGAGTACTTACTAAGTTGAACATAAACATTGTACAATGACTTTAAAAAGACATTTCCATTATTAAGAACAAAGTGGCTTTCCTTTATCGAAAGCCCCTGTTTATCAAATCAAATATACAGCATGATATATACTGTTGAAACATTTTACAATAAATTAAAATAAGATTTTCTTTAAACTTGTATAATATTTTTAAATATGGAACTAACAATCTTTTAACTTGAAATGCAAATTGTAATGGAAACTAAATATTGATAATGGTTTTGGATCTGAGTATCAGGGCATTTTGTACTTGTTAAATTGCTGGTATCAGTTGAATTTATTCACCGTTATTTTACCAGGCAAGTCCCATTGAGATCTCCGCTCTCTTTTTCAAGGGCAGCCTGGGCCTGAAGGCAGCCTATTGCACATGTTTTTACGGGTGGGGCGAAACCAGATCACCCAGAGAAAACCCACATAAACACAAGGAGAACATGCAAACTCCACACAGAAAGACCCCAGGTCTGAACCGGGGCTTGAACCCAGGACCTTCTGGCTGTGGGGCGTTGGTGCTAACCACTGAGCCATCATGCTGCCAAAGGGCTTCAGTTTGTTCAAAACTATTACACCTCCTTTTAATTGTACCGATTAAAATACACAAAATAACATATAGTGTAATCATTGTTTTTTGTCCGGTACTGAGGTAATTGGTATCAGCACTGGTATTTTGTCATTCTTGTAGCCCCTCAAACCAAAAATCTGCATTGAAGGTCCATAACTACTTCTGTAAAACTGTAGGAAAATGGAAACATACTTCCACGTTGTTAAATGCATATAATAAAGTGTGTTCCCCTGAACCAGTGAAGAAGACCTTTATTGTAGGTCTTCTTTTATAACAAGACCATTGTGGGGCGATGTAAGTGAAACAAGCCCCACCATAACCAGACTGCAGCTTACTGTGGTGTTTTATTCACGTTCCTCACCCTGGCAACAGGAGATAACCTTGAGAGCCGTCAAGCCACATTCAAAAGTGATTTTTTTTTCCCTTTCTCTCGAGCCACCGAAATGAAAGCTTTTCATTCGCTTCTCTTCCATTACACAGGGTTCAAAAGCTTTTTTATTTCAAGATGCTGATCATTCACATTTTCAGTAGTTGTCCAACGACACAGAGGGGTGGTGGGGTGGGTGTTGGGGACAAGTGCTTTTTCGTATCGATGTGTCGTGGCAAAAGCCAGCTCTCACAGCCTGGTAACGGTTGCTACCCTTGACAAGAGGGCCTATAAATACATCCCAGAAAAACACAGAGGGGCCTTCGTTCAACAAGCTGCTCAAAAACAGAGCGGCCAATCGCAGTATTCCAGGCCAAAGTCCCCACCACCACAGTACAAATGACAGATTAAAAGGTTCTCAGCTTTGACCTAAAAACACCAAGACTTGAAGGCTGTCTACTGTGCCAATTGAGTAGAATCTGTCTTAGTAGAACCTTAAATGTGACCCCAGGATTAAGTTACAATTACTGGAGTAAGAAAATTAGAAGCTATTGATAGAAAAAAAAGTGATAATTGCATTTTGTAAATACCTTATCTTTACCTTAGGGGTCCCTTTAAAATAGTTTGATTAAACTGATGTATTCTACTAAACCATCAACATTTGACTAGTATACTTTTTGTGTAAAAACACAAATACGTTACAATATGTACAACTTTTATATGAGAGCAAGATAAATGAAGAAATACATATTGAAGGAAATGTCTGAAATATAATCCTAAAGATTGTTTTTAAGCACTTTTCTAAAATGTACAAACAACTAACTATGCTTTTGAGCAGAAAAGCCCTAAATTTGAGCTATTTTCATGCTTAAAAGCAAAGCAGCTTTTTAATACCAGCTGGGATTTTCTGATTTCTAAATATGGTGTGATGACAGCAACAAACACTTTTAGAATATGCTAAATATAGGATTTTAGACCAATATTTCAAGTGTATTCCCAATTCGCAAAACAAATCAAGCATCAGCTCTAGAATAACTTATGACATTGGGATAATCTGGGTTTTAAAAAGTCTTTTTAAATCTTAAAATGCACTTGGTTTTGTTGAACCAAATATTACTTAATTCCTGATTTGCAGGGGCAGAGCTAGAGGGGTGTCTGGAACCTGCTTCACTACTCCAGGTGCCACACTAGTTGATGGTCTAGTCCAGGGGCGCAGATATGATTTTTGAACTGGGGGGACCAAGTTTTCAGCAAATGATTTCCATCTAAGTAATTTTTAGTAATTTGATTAGTTACTTTCATAAAAGCTTTTGAGTGAATGGTTTGCAATAAAATGGCATTATAGAATTATTTGAAATTAAAGAAGAAAAATTAACATTGTTAAACACCTTCCAAGTCAACACTAATGGTGCGTTCACACCGAACGCGATTTCAGCGTCAGGAGCAGCAGGTTTACATGCAAAGTCTATGGTGGACGCGCTTCAAGCAACGTCGGGAAGTTCTGCGGTGCCTCAAGCGCGATTAGAGCAGCGCGATTAGAGCAGCGCGATTA